TGAAAGGTGAGGGCAGGTAAGGCTCCGGATAACAGACAACTTGGATGACGTGGTACAAGGTTGTCACGAGTGTTCACAACGTCGGATAAATTGTGATCGAGCCAACCCCCAATGTCAGAAGTGCCTGGCCAAGGGTCTCCGGTGCAGTGGACTCGGAATCCGCTATCGCTTCAACGACGGATTTGCCTCGAGGGGGAACATGGTGGGCAAAAGTGTCCCAGAGGTACATGACAAGTATGGTATTTTCCTCAGATAACAGCCTGATCGTCCTAGTAACGGTGTATAACCCATAGACAATTCCACGTCCAGTTCACCAAACAGACAAAGCAGTCCTCCATGCACGGAAATTTATCAACCGAGGCCAAGCTCGGAAAGCAGAACGATCCCACCTTCCCTTCATCATCAGTTAAAAAAGATGCACATGTTGAGACTTGTAGATCAAAACGCAGTGATAATGAATCGTTTTCCTCTTTGAGAGACTACCTTACCCTAGCGCCACCGGATAACATTCCGGTCTTACACCGTCGCCTGATATCACACTGTAAGTAATTCTTATATTTTTTTTCATTCTCTGAGAGCGACATGGCTGACATTTGCAAGTCTCAGAAGCAATCGCCAAGGAAATGGTGGCAATTGACGGTGCACATAATGGCTGGCGATGCCTAGTTCTGCCTATTGCCCACTTGGATGATACGGTAATGAATGCGGTATTGGCAGCTTCGGGATTTCATCTACTGCTCAATGCCAATGCTCCAATCAGTGTTCGCCCAGACTTGTTCTATACAAGAGCGATCCTGGGACTTCGCCAGCGGCAACACCTACAAGACTATGACTCAAAAGCTCGTTGCTTTGTTTTATTAGCCATTTCAGTACTACTTGTGGCTGTTATGGTAAATGCAGGACCGGACTTCCCCACTTTATTTCGATTACTGGAATCGGGCCTGGGCGCGATTGAAGGCCAAGCAGGCCTTGGAGAGGGTGAGCTTCCGGAGTTTCTTACTCGACAAATTAACAAGTATGGGAGACCAAAATTGCTTTACATTTTTCCTTTACTGATTGCACAGGCTACGTGTTTATGCGGCACCATTATTAAACGAACAAGCTGGAGTAGACACCATTACCTCGCATGCCCGCCAAAGCTTTGATTGTTTACGGTACACCGGTAGCTTCTATCCAGAGTACTCGGTAGCAGTTTCGTTCATCGCGGATATCAACCAGCAAGCCTACGATATCTACCTTCGCAGTGTTTCTGCCATTTCAACCGCCAACACCCTGGCTGGGCTCATTGAGAAGTTCAAATCTACCTGGGAAGCATTTCCACCTAATTCTCCTGGGCAACATGTGTTAGTTTGGGCCCCATTTATTGCGGCTGCCGTAAGCTTCACCGCTGAAGATCGAGAGTTCTTTCGGATGGTGTTTATGAAGCACCATCAACGAAGTGGGTTTGGAAATTTGGTCCAGGCCCTGATTTTCTTGGAGACGATATGGGCAAGCAGGCAGTCAGAGAGATGGACTGTACTTTTTCGAAAGACGCCTATATTTATTATGTAGTACCCCAAGGAGAATATAACATACGCGGCGGGGAAAATTATAAGTACTAACTGGCAGCTAAGATCTCTCCGCTCTGAATGTGTCGTTAGTAGAGAAAACGAAGAAACGATTAGTGAAACGTGCTGCTGGTTAGGAGGATAATTTACAAATCCTGCTGAAATACGACATTGAATGGCCAGAGTTTCCCCGATGAGTACGCCCAGGGCCCGGAAGATGGATCGCTTGGCTGTAATGGCGCAGGCTCGCAGGTTCTGGATGATTGTTCTAATATTAAGTGCGTTATCTCTGTAGTCAAGGGTTTCTACCCGAATAGATATTTAAGAGAAGCTTTTGGGCTTTCCTATATTCGTGTATTATTCAAACGACTGCTTCCAAAAGGGCGTATTTCTTGCATGACTTTGAAGTCCGAATACAATGTCTGGTAATATACACACTACCCAATATACTTCCACAACATGTAGTATGGCAATCATAATTATAAAAGACTGTATTATATTTGGCTGAATTCTTATTTTGTATGTATACGTCTGGAACGAAGTCTGGCTTAAGAACATGGGGTTGAGGCCCGCTCTCTGAATGTCTCTCCGTTCAGCTCGAAAGTCTCTGTAAATCTGGTAACCTTTTCCTATCACCAGCGCCTAAGTCCTACAATTCTACTGTGAAATATCTAGTAAACACGATGTAGCTCCGAGTATTGACTAATACATTAGCGTATGAAGTCAGTAACTACATGTATGGCTCATGTATACATGGATATCGTCAATTATAAAAAGAAAACACTTGAACCAAGTTGAAGAGTAGTATATCACAGTATCATACTTGTCAAACCAGAGTTGGGTCAACCAAGAAGAAAACTAAAATTGCATGGATAAAGATCTCCGGTATGAACGGCGGCGAACGGCGGTTCTTGAAATCCATTGCAGCTGAGAAGTGAAAATGATGCTAATTGCACCAGAGAAAATTTGCCAGCAGGCTCTGCTCTTAAAAGCATCCACGGAGTCTTAGCATTGCAATTTAGATGTGCAAAATCACAGCATAGAGAGTTCCAAGAACAACCGTAAGAACAGAGACTGCAGAGTTGCTGGTTGCTCCGTTGTAGGGAATTGGACTTGTGGTAGGCGTGTTCCAACTTCCGCTTGAAGAAGCTCCAGGGATAGTAGAGGATTGAGAGGCTGTGGATGTTCCTGCACAAGGGCAAATAACCGTTGTTTGTGTGACCGTGGAAGTAACAGTTGTCTTAGCCCCAGCAGAGGATGGACCCGTCAGTGGTGTGCTTGTAGGGCCAGTAGTTCTCGACGAGCTTTGGATGGGAGTAATAATGGAACTGGAATAGGAACCCGCAGGCCAGGTAGAAGTCTCAGTTCCAGTCGGGGTTGGAACTGGGGTGGCGGATGCTGCAGGAGAAGTAGACATGACGCACGAAGTGGAAGACTGTCCACCAGATCCATACTGGCACTGAGCCTCACCCAGAACTGCTAGGCACAGATTGATAGGGATGTCAACAAGTCCACCAGTAGTCTGAGACTTTTGGTGACACTCCGATTCTCCGAGAACAGCCAGGCAGATGTTGATCGGCACATTTATCAAGGAGCTGCCGCTAGATGAAGTGGCTTGGTTGCATCTGGCCTCCCCAATGGCAGCGACACACGCACTTACGGGCACATTGATCAAGCCATTGGAGATGCTCGCCGATTTGCACTGAGCTTCTCCAAGTATACCCGCGCATAGTCCAGCAGGAACGCTGATCAAATTGTCTGCGGATGGAACTGCCTATATATAATAAAATTGGTTATTAGTAGATGCTTGGAAACCAGAAAGGACGGATCTTCTCTTACTGCGCATGACACCGCAAGGGCGAGAGCAGATGTAAGAATAGATTGCTTCATCGTGCTGAAATAACTGGAGATCAAGTCCGAAATACCAAAAAGCGAAGTGGAGCAAATCTGATGAAGCAAGGTAAATGAGTGGACGCTGGTATCAGCGAAAACGAGTGACTGTTGATGAGAATCAACGACTGCTACCACAGCAGCAAAAAAGAATGAATCAACTGTAGTTGAAGGAAAGGAGGGAAAAGATAGTGAAGTATTCGTAAGAATTAGAGCGACAAGTCGACTTGCCCCTGGACTAGCATGTCAAAACATCATCTTAGCGCCTTGACCCCTGTCCTTACAATCTCAGGGTATGGGGGAAATTGTCGATCTGCAAACTGACTGCAGCTGGCCAAGGAAATGTAAAGTAAACGCGGCCTAGACCCTCCCGTCCGCACGAGGGACCTCTCAGATTGGTCTAGTAGCGAGCCCTTAGTGCCCGTTGACACCGTTAACAATTTCGGCTATGCTATAAACTAGTGATGATAATCAAGCACTATGGGGGTAGATCAGACCCCTAAAATCTTGGCGGGCAAAACACAGCTCCTTATTCGTCCCTGTCTCGCAGCCCACAGCTCGGGTCTCTATTGGCGTATCCACATTACCCCCTCCCCTGATTTTGTGCCTCGTGATTCCTTAATGATGGTTCCCTCATATCAGGTTTTTGTGGAATATCATTTCCAAATTGTTGTTGGGTGAATTTTGGAAACAGCATCCAAATTCAAAACTAGCAAGTAAATAATAATCCTTTGACCCGTTTGCCCCTGTGAGTCGGCCGTCCACTGCTACCTCGCCACCTTATTGCAGGTTGAGCAGAGCTCTGATCAAGACACAATTGCACATCACTATTAACACTTAATATTACCTTTTAAAGTCTCAGTGCTGGTTCCCGGGAAGAATTTGAGGAAACTCTCTTGTACTGACTTTTCTAGTCATTTTGGGTAAGACGAGCCCCAGCTCAAGTCCGAGATCTCTTTTGTCTGGTGTGTTTTTTTTTTTTTTTTTTTTTTTTTTTTGGCAGACTATCAATCCAACTTGGCAAATGATATCTTCATGACAATAATGGGATAATGAGATGAAAATGCCATTTAAATATTAGTGTTTTAGCCTGCTACGCATTTATTACCTTCAAACAATAATAATAATGACGTTTTGTTTGACACCAGACTGGTCAACGTTTGCTTTTTTTTCTTCTATCATCGTAGATCTACCACGCTCGCTGAAACCGGAAACGGAGACTTCATGAAACCCAAGCTCACTCGCTCAAGCTATATTCTCAGGAATCTGAATATGGCAGCGCGAGACATCCAGATGGATGCTATCTGAGGCAACAATCATAAAACCCGGGGAGGTTTATCTGCATACATGACAAAATGGGGCCGCAGCACTTGCGTTCTGTGTCCTGCGGGACAGGATACTGCTTCGCACTCTGAAAAGCTGCATTGTGACCTGCTTTCATAGTATAGCCGTGGAAGCCAATGCCGGGGCTATGCTAATGCGTGAAGCCATGCGATAAGTGCTTCGCGATCCACTAGGAATGGGCTAACAGAATAAATGATTATATCATCCAGCTCGCAGCAATTATGATACTGAATAGCTGACCTTGCTGGTACCCTTGCTTCTAGAAATCTTTCTTACAGTCGTTTCTCCACACAGATCGGTACTTTCAACGTGTGTTCCCCCACAGGGATACACCTCTGCACCAACGATGCGCACCACTCGAAAGCGGTCTTGCCCTGGGAGCAACAACTGGCGATTTGGAATCAGATGTGAGACACCTTCGCGGCGGAAATCATCTTCACTCCAGAAGTCGATTTCCACTGGCATGGCACGCTTGATAAAGTCATTGACTTTATTTTGAATAGAATCCTTCCATTTTCCTTCAATACTGCCCCGGAATTCACACGATGCACTTTCTGGGAAATGTGAAGCCTTCAATTCGTCGAAGTCGGCGACTTTGTCTTCTAACAAGTGTCTCACAGCTGAGCCCAATACGTGTCCAGCTGTATGGAGTCGGGAATATAGCAGCCTTTTCTCAGCATTGACCATTTGTTCGACGCAATCACCAGGGCGGATATTATTGCCTTCGGTATTGTTGATGAAGCGGACTAAATGCAGGACTCGTCCTTCATTCATAGCATCCATTCGCGCGGCGCGAACCTCAATACCTGGGACATCACAGCCGGTTCTAATAGCAGTCATTGTACCTTCATCGGATGGCTGACCGCCCCCTTGAGGGTGAAAAATGGTATCTTTTGTCACGATAACAAAGTCGTCATCGCTGGCCGTTTTGAACAAGTCACGGTTTTCGCTTTCTAGTGTTGAGAATGGTTGGATAGACTGTACAGTCGTCTGTAGTCGTAGCAGGTCTGCGTTGTGCTGATACGCAAGATATGTGGGTGTCGTCGCAGCCATTGGGTTTCGGTTCGCTCATGAAGCAGAAAGAGAGGAGAGGCACTGTCTTATATGAAGGCCAGAATTCGCTTCAAGAAGAACCGGGCAGCCGTGCGTCTGATGAGGGCGCGCCAGCTGATCCTAGCGGGTTGTGCTGCATCGGTTATTCCTACAGGCGCGCGATCCAATGTTTGTGCGCGAGTGTCAGGTGACTGATTGCCAGTGCGACTAAGTGGCAGTATTTCACCGCTCTTCTTAAATCACCAAATAGTCAAGTTCAATTATTAGCTAAAATGTATATTGTCAAGGGTTCTTCCATTTTGGAAGAATTTGCTTCTTCTTCTCCTTATTCAAGTGTGATCTTCACCACCTTCCCGGGCTCTTGAAATGTCCCTAACACAGGAGCGACCTGCCCACCACTTGTGCCGACGTACAGAGACTTCCCATCTTCAGCCAACCGACAAGAAGTGGGACCGGGCATTTGGGTAGAGAGCTGGCCACCGGCGACGAGCGAGATCTGACCGATCGGAGTGATACGGACAACGGAGTTCTGAGGATCTGTAGCGACGTATGCCGTGCCCTCCGAGGTCACGTCGAAGTTATCCGGTAAGAAGCCGCTGGCAATTACCTCGTAGTCGCCCACAGCTGTTCCGTCGCTGTCCACTTTGACACGACAGAACTCCATGCGCGTGGTGCTAGAGTAGTAGACATAGTCGTCAACCACCTTTAAACCATTGACTCCTAAAGGGAGTGCCTGACCCTCTGCTGGAAGCATGGTTGTATGGTTCAAAGCGACCGAGTAGTTGCCCGATTTAGTGTGGACTTTCCAAACAGCTCCTTTGGGACTGTCGGCTATCAGGACCAGATTTGACTCCTTCGAAAGCGTGGCCATTCCGTTCAGAGCCTGCGCATCCGGAAGTGCGGCGATTTCCGACGCTGCTGGAAGCTTTGAGATTCGGTCGTCCTCCTTGACATCCACATTGTTGAAGTCCAACTTCTGAAGAGAAAACGATCCAGGGGTGGGTTGGTAGGTCTTGGTGGAAAAGTTTCCAATAACCACGGCGAACACATCATCCTCAATCTCGCTGATCCCAAAGCAGCTTGTCACATTGGAGAAGGAGTGAGCGACAGACGCGTCACCACTGGTGGTGTTGACCAACCAAACTTCAGGCACGTCTAGCCGAGTGAAGAGAAGGCTTCCGTCTGGACGAAAGGCGAGATTGGACACCCAAGAGCCATTCTGAGGGAACTGGTAGAGCGTCTCGACATTCACGTCGGGCTCAACGTTGCTAGAGGGACTTGCCGCCGAGGAGAAGTACAAGTGCGGCCAGTATGCAAAAGCCTGGGGCAAAACGGCAAGGGCGCCCAGCCAGGACATGTTGGGAAGCATCTTGAGACGACGTGATATCAGAATCGGAGAGCAAGGGGTGGCACGTTGGCTATATAGCGTCGCGACAACGCGAGGCAATTTCTCGGCAATCATTCCACAGCCATAGCGCAATGAGCCCCATATTATCCGGGCGCAACATTCCAGTCGAGAAGTGTTTTGATCTTGAGAGACTCATCCCTGCATTCCACCCGAAATGGTATACACCAAGCCAATTATGAAGAGAAGCCGCGTGTACATAAGCTCACAGACTTGGACTTGAACACTCGCCATAAGAACCGAAAGTAGCGTAATTATTCCTCATATTCCAAGAGGTGATGTCCAAACGACCTGTCGGCGTTGCAAACTCTGAGTGCGAATTCGATCCTCTCCGAAGCCAAATCAGACAATTGACTATAAGAACCGGTAGAGAAACTCCAAATTCTGGGGGTTGAGATAGTCTGGGTTGGACAAGGACCCAGCGATCCCCATGAAGTCATCTCCCACGTTGAACAAATCGTACCAGTCCATGTTAACGGTATCTTCAGCAGTGTTTGGTTCGTGGCCTGTATTTGTGACTGGAACAATGGCATGCTCATGAGTTGGGACGCTTTCTGTTCCATTGCATGATATCGGTTGTGGGATGATATCAGGACGTTGACTGGCTCTGACGGAGTGCCGAGACAACATCGAAGGACCTACCGCGACATCGGCCAAGCGAAGATCTTGGGCAGTTCGATCATCAAGACAGCGGAAAAACAAGTCAAGGACCCAGTTTTCCAAGTCCCAAGACTTCTGTAGTTCTTTGAGTCCCAGAAGGCACAACTTTGCTCGATGTTCGGCGAGCTTCCGAGCTGTGCCAGTGGTTCGTTCAAAGTGGATGGTGTGAATGCAGAGGGCAGAAAAAGTGTGTGTAATTCTGCTTCCATATTAGCACTATGCAGACTGGGAATCGGCACGCGCATAGAACTTACAGATGAAGTGAACCGTGTTGGACGAGCCCTTCCGAAAGCATGTCCTCGAGAATCCGGGTGCTTCGGGCTGCTGCATCCAATGCAATGCCTCCATCTAGCTGTGTGTGCTCCCGTGGAGGCTGAATAAATAGGGGTCGATAAAGTAGAATATACAGATTACTGACATGAGGTCAGCTCTGCCAGACATTTGTACGACGTCCTCTACTCACTTGTATGTCATATGGAGCATGCCGAGGAGAAACATGGACTCGCGGCTCATGGGTGCTTGAAACCGCATTTCTTCCGGCAAGTTAGACTCCCACTCTACCAGGCGTTGGTGAAGGCCCGGACGAGCCGGGCTCTCCAATTCTGACTGGCCAGGTAGGTATTGGCTAGAGACCACCTCCCGTACTGACAAGAGAACCCCCGGCGTCAGTCAGATAATCCTAATGAGTAGACTAAAAATGGCACAGGGCTCCATACATAATCTAGCAAGTTGAGCCATCCTGATCACGTAGGAGACATAAACCGCAGGTGGTTTTCGGAATATCTCAGAGGATGGACCAGTGTCCTCAAAATCGGAAGGCTGGAGCTCTGTGATCTCGCAGTCCTCGTCGCGAATCCGAGAAGGTAGGCCCAAAGCGGCTGAAGTCTGTTGATCACGGACCTGCAAAGGATCTATTTAGAGGGGCGGATGGGTCATGGAGGAACCGAGTGTGTTACATATAAAGCCCACCAGATCCTTTTCCATATTCTCTGCTCACTAGTGCTGAGAAATGACAGCTTGGACCTGTGGCTCAAATCAGTCACACTCCTAGGGAACAAAAAGGGTCCGTTGGCTCACATCACATGCATGCCTTTCTTCTGGGCCAGCGCGATGGCCGCTCCCAGCCAAAATCGAACATCTCGCTCCTCATTGGGGCCTCCGCGCCAAAAGCTCAGGAGGAACAACGATTGAAGTTTAACGACGGTGTCATTCTCCCATCCGGAATCGTAAATTTCTTTCGCACGCTGGTAAAAAGCGCCTTTTGCCTGATAGCGATCGTGGAATCCCGTGGTGTGCAACACGGAATCCGAACACAAACTGATACCAATGAACAGCATGGCCTGCACCAGCAACGGCGAGATCGTGCTCTCCCGATAGCCATTTTGCGCGCCTCGGCGATCCAGCACTGGAAAACACGGATGGAACCATTCAAAATAGGCGTGAAGGAGAGTGTCACAAATGTCTGCGGAGGGAAAGACCAAGGCACCTTCCCGGGTCAAACGGTCATGAAGGATCCTGCGACGGTCCCCGAGGGGGTCCTGACTAGGTTCTCCGGCGCGAATCTCGGAGATGGAGTAGTGCAACCGTCCCGTTTGGATTCTGCCCCCGTAGCCTTTGTCTGGAGACCGGCGTCCTTCGTCCACGACGCATGTGAGAGGGCTGGACTCGCCCAGGAAGACCGTTTTGTGGATCGTATCCTCGCCCGCCGTCGCCGGCCGAGATGCAGGGGCATAGTGCTGGAGTGGTGGGCCCGGCTGTCCGGACCGGAGATCTTCTGTCCTCGGCACTGTCCGCGCAGTCGTGGAGAAGGCGGCCACACGTTCATTGTGGTCGCCTAGTGTCCGAGACGAGCGACCAGTCTTGCGACGGGGATACCTGCCGAGTGGCGGTTGGCCATCGATTACCGATTTAGAGTCCAGCGATGCTTACTTTCCGCGTCGTGAGATTCCCAGCTCACAGGAGAGATTCCACGCCACACAGTTACGGCACGGCTGCGCCTCGAGCACGTTGCATCGCACGCGGCGCGCATTGCAGGCCAAGCATGCCTTCTTCGCCCTGGTTCGTGGTCGATCCTCGGCGGTCGCCATCTCGTGCGCCAGTCTCGCCAGTCTAGAAAGGAGAAAGGGAGTATGTAGCCTGTTATAATGCACCCTCACAGGCAGGTCAAGTCGGCATCTGAGGGCGATCGTTTCTTATTATTATGATGATTCTCGTGCGCGTCGTCGTAGGAGAGGTGGGATCATATAGCCGACTTGCGGGAGAAGCCGAGGGTGTTATGTAATCCGAGGGAATATATCCTGCCACGCATAATAATCTCAGCTAAAGGTTAATATGTAATATGTAATAGTCGATCGAAGTAAGTAGGTCAACCGGCGCAGGGGTATGATGCGATTGACTATTGACGAGAAGAAGGAAAACGAAGGACAAGGAGAAACCAAGTATACGGTCACGTGGGTTACGGAGAGGTGGATCTATACGGAGGAATTCAGGTTGTACAACTGAACGTTAGATGCCAGAAGGAGCCCGGGGCTTGCAATAACGTTTGGTACTTCTTTGGCAGCGCCGAGATTTGGGTGCAGCAGACCCCCCGGGCAACGACCTAGAAATTTATATATCTGTCTCTACATGCCATCACAATACATTTCGCCCTCCCTCACCATGCACTGGTTGTCATGACAGGCCCAGCTCGGCGAGAATGGCTTCATTATGTTCCCCAACCCGGGGCACCGAATCCATGCGGGCCCCATATCCGCCCTGTGCTGCGTTCTTCGTGGACCCCGGCGGGAGAAGGGCGGGGATGCGGCCGGCAGGCGTGTCCACGTCCGTCCAGCGATCCCGAGCGCGCAGTTGAGCATGTTCCCACACACCTCGCATGTCATTGACATTGGCATTGGCAATCATCGCGGCGTCGAGTCGGGCGATGGTCTCCTCGGCCGTCAACTGGGCGAACTCGGCAGTGATGATCGTTTTGAGCGCCTGACGGTTTTCGGTTCGGAGAGCGTTGGTCGAGAACCGGGGATCCGCCGCCAACTGCGGTTGTGTTAGGACGGTATGACAAAAGTTGGCCCACTCCCTTTCGTTCTGAATGCCTAGCATCACCGACTGGCCGTCACCGGTTTCGAATGGACCATATGGATAGATCGAAGCATGCGAGGCCCCGGCCGGCACCGGCGCCGGCGCGTTGTCAAAGGCGTAGTACATCGGGAACCCCATCCATTCGACCATGCTCTCCAGCATCGAGATGTCAATTCGGCAGCCGAGGCCGTCTTTGCTACGCTGCAGCAGCGCGGACAGAATGTTGCTGTAGGCATACATGCCGGCCGCAATATCTGCGATGGAAATGCCCACCTTGGCTGGTTCGGTGCCGGTGCCGGTGACGGACAGCAGGCCGGCTTCACTCTGAATGAGAAGATCATACGCTTTCTTGTCCCGATATGGACCGTCTTGTCCGTACCCCGAGATATCACAGACGATCAAAGATGGGTGTTTCGCCTGCAATGCCTCGTGCGAGAGCCCCAACCGCGCGCTGGCCCCGGGAGCCAGGTTCTGGACTAGCACATCCGCGTGGTCCAGCAATTTCATCAGGACGGCATGATCCTTTTCCTCCTTGAGATCCAGCGCCAAGCTCTCCTTGGACCGGTTGGTCCACATAAAATGGGATGCCAGGCCCTTGACGCGAGAGTCATACTGGCGCGCAAAGTCTCCCACGCCCGGCCGCTCGACCTTGATGACGCGCGCCCCGAGATCGGCCAGCTGCCGGGTGCAAAATGGTGCTGCGATGGCTTGTTCGAGACTAACTACCGTCACTCCAGCCAGAGGAGCACGCCGGGAACCATGAGAAGTGGTACTGGAGTACAGTCGCCCGACCGAGGCAGGACAGCAACTCGGCCTACTCAACGGACGAAGAGTGGACTGAGAATGAAGCAACCGCATGTTTTTGAAATAATATGAGGACGCTACAAAGAGGATACTACAGAGACCACCGCTGCTTTTCGCGACCAACTCGGTCTTTCGTGGACCCCGCAGTCGGCAATTATCATCCCAGTCGGCTATATGAGATCGCAACGGCCCCCAGTACGTATAAAGCTCCGGCCCAGACGAGCTACGCCGAACCACCCGGGCAAAGAAACATCATTTGCAATCATGTCTCGGACGCAATGGCAGCGATTCCTCTGGTCGCATCGGGCCACCTTATCATCCCGACAATCTCCATGCTGGACACCCATTGCTCGCGTTCCGACTGTGCGCGCGGCATTCTCCACCTCGGCGCAACGCGAGCTGATGGAGATGACCGGCTTCAGTGATGAACAGCTGACAGTGCGAGAAGCCATCTCGAATATTTGCTCCAAATTCCCCAATACCTACTGGCAAGAGCGCGACCAACAGGAGAAAGACCCCAAGGAGTTTCATGCCGCCTTGGCCAAAGATGGCTGGCTCGGTATTGCGCTGCCCGAGTCGCTAGGAGGTGCTGGACTGGGTACGTCTATCATGGGGTGGCTGCCGCCGACAAGCCGATTGCTAATTCAACACCACAGGGATCTCCGAGGCCACCATGATGATGCAGACAATTACCCAGTCGGGAGCCGGCATGGCCGGCGCACAAGCCATCCATGCCAATGTCTACGCGACGCAGCCGCTGGCCAAGTTTGGCACGCAGGAGCAGCTCGAGACCACGATCCCCAACATCATCAATGGCACCTGGCGAACGTGCTTTGGGGTGACCGAGCCCAACACGGGGCTCGACACCCTGCGCTTGAAGACCCTCGCCACGAAGACCGCGGATGGGTACTCGGTCTCGGGTCAGAAGATCTGGATTACCTGTGCGCAAGTCGCATCGAAAATGATCCTGCTGGCCCGGACCACGCCGCTAGACGAAGTGCAGAAGCCGACCGAGGGTTTGTCGTTGTTCTGTATCGACATCAACCGCGACCACCGGGGACTGGACCTGCGCAAGATAAAGAAGATGGGCGGACGCGCCGTGGACGCGAACGAAGTCTTCTTTGATCACTATGACATTCCGGCCGACTCCTTGATTGGCCAAGAGAACCAGGGTTTCAAGATCATCCTGCACGGCATGAACGCCGAGCGCTGTCTGCTGGCCGGTGAAGCGCTCGGTCTAGGCTATGCGGCCCTAGAGAAGGCCTCGCAGTATGCTAAGGAGCGCGTGGTCTTTGGGCGGCCGATCGGGCAGAACCAGGGCGTGGCACACCCGCTGGCGGATGCCTACATGAAGCTGGAGGCAGCGAAGCTGGCCACCTACCACGCGGCGCGTCTCTACGATACCAACGACGGTTCCATCCCCTTCCACTCCATCGGGGTGGCGTGCAACAGCGCCAAGTACCTGGCGGCCGAAGCTGCGTTCACGGCGTGTGAGCGTGCGGTCCTGGCTCATGGCGGGATGGGCTACGCGATGGAGTACGATGTGGAGCGATACCTGCGCGAGTGTCTAGTGCCCCGGATCGCGCCGGTGAGCCGGGAAATGATTTTGAACTACGTGAGCGAGAAAGTACTCGAGCTGCCCCGAAGCTACTAGAGTGTGTATATACATCATAGTAAAAAAACAAGAATCAGGAAAGACCAGCAGAATCCAAAAGTACATAGTCATGGGGCCAGGAAATCCTCGCGACCGACTCCCCCGCATACACGCGAGCCCCTGGTATTCGCAACACGGGTCTGGACACTAGGGCTCATCTGGTTCACGCCCGTGTCAGTGATTGTCTGTCGGTGATCGAATGGTGGGCATACCGCATAGCAAAGGCTGCGCAGCCTGTCTCCAGCGACGCATCAAGGTGAGTGAAGACGAATCTTGGCGGCACTCGAAGCAAAGAGACTCACTGTCAATTACAGTGCGATGAAAGGCGCCCGGCGTGTCATGCCTGCCAACGGAGAGACATCCCGTGCCCGAGGTATGCGCGAGAGCGAAAGTGTTACTACCACCGGTTTTCAGACCCATCACCCCAGTTTCGGAACTCCAGCGAGCGTGCCGTGGTTTCCCTCCGCCAGGGACAGAGACAGGCCCTGGGCTCGCCGATAGACGAAAAAACGGCACCGGGCTTGGTTGCGGGAGCCGTCGACCAGCAGTATCGAGAGGGGTTCTGTACCTTTGTTCATACCAGCTTCTACAATCAATTTTATGGATATCAAACTCGGGTCGACGTGAACTGGTTCGATGTAGCTCGGACCTCCACTGGTAGGTCGGGCCAGTCGGTGGATTGGGCTTTGCACAGCATAGGGTCGTTACAAATCGGCCGACAGCAGGGGGATCAGAGGCAGCTGACCGCCAGTCGTGAGATGTATGGCCGGGCGTTGCAGCAGCTCGCACGGCAGCTCAGCAATCCCTCTTCGGCTTTGACGGACGAGACCCTGATGGCGGCCTGCCTCCTCGGAGTGTATGAGTTGGTGAGTGGCACTGGCCGGCAACCGTGGCTACTGCATTCTCAAGGCATCTCCCATCTCTTCCGCATCCGGGGTCCCCAGGCACATATCCCGTGGGATGGGTCGGACACTATTAGTCTCCATCCGGAGCTTTCTGGTGTTTGAAGCGCTCAGTCGCGGCGAAGGATGTTTTCTGGGAGATGAAGAAAATGGAGGTCAATACTCCGGGACACCATCAAAGCGGACCAGCAGCGGGGCGGAGCGAGTCATCTAGGTGAGCTAATTGACCGCGCCTTCAGTGAAATTGCTCGTGGCCCGGGATTTCTCGCCAATGCCAGAGCTCTGGTCAGTTCTCATACCACGGATGGTGCCACGCGACAGTAGCTGATCCGTCGCATCGCGGGCTGCCGAACAGCACTAGGCGATCTAGAAACGCAGCTATCCGCGTGTGAACCTACCGGCCGGAGTTCGTCTGCCGTGTTCCTGTCCCTGTCGCGAAGGTGTTGATCCGGCTCTCCTGCGAAGGGATCGAAGTGGCTCGCGCTCTGCTCCAGCAATTGCTAGTAGTACTCGAGCCCAATCCTTCCCGAGGAACAGCCAAGCCGGCACGTTTAGAAGGCGATGACCCCTGGGACATGTTTCAGAATCAGACTGCGATGATACTCCTGGCTCGAGAACGCCGTAGCCTGCAGCCGGCACGGCCCCAGGGACACCAGAACAAGGCTGAGACATGGTTCGATCGGGTCTCCATGTCAATGGGAATGATACTGCCTGAGAACGCGCCCCTGTGAGTCGAGCTCAGCCTCCTTACATCTCCGGGGATGTCAGCCCTTGACGACCTCATCATCGAACCCGTCCAATCGTCGGGACCCCCAAAAAGGTCAGTCCCACCCCGTTGTATACATCCGGATACAATGGAAGCGTCTCGGATGTGACACCCGAACAAGGTCATAGGTTACTGGGCTGATGCAACAGTATCTCTGTCCGGCAGTGAGAGGTGTGTTCCACATGGCGCACATGGAAACCTGGGTTGGTCCCACCCCCAGCCCAATCCTCTGGAATGTGGGAAGAATTGAGGCGAAGATTCGATTCCCGGAATGTCGGGGAAGGGTGGGGGTTGACTGGTTGCGGATGCGACGTTAGCCTCATCCATGCCGGACCAAGGCGGCAGTGACATTACCTTGAGGTAATCCTCGCAGTTCTTTTGGGACTCAAGAGATCCACCTGTTATGCATTATTAGTACTTTCCCCACCACTGGTATTATTGTACTGTACAATTTCCCGAGCAAAGGCTGGGAGGCAGAAATCTAGCTGCCTGGTTGTCTCAGCCTCGCTCCGAAGTCAGGGGGATCCCGCTAGTGTCAAACCTTGCCCGGTGGAGTGGTAGAGACATCTTCTGAACAGAGATCGGATTTTCGCGCCATAGCCCTAAAAAAGACACATTCCCAGATTTTCTGTCGGTCGGCGAGTCTGGATCACTGGACCGGGGGGGGGGGAACAAGAATGTTCCTGTCACATTCTGATGACACCATTATTCTTGACTAGGACAACGGTTCCTGCAATGGAATGCCCACCCACGGATCGCCCCGGGTACCTGAATCCTAAAGCGGCCATCAGCCACCGAGTGCTTGCGTGTCCCTCGCAGGGCTGATTGGCCAACCATGGGCTAAGCATTCTGCTAGTCACTAGGCGAAGCTTGGCCGACCACTAGGAACCGCGCGTTCACGCCTGTCACGTCATCTGGCATCACAGGCACTGGCCCAATCGCCAGCCAGTCTGACCCGTCAATGTCGCCACGGCTTACGTGCTGGAACAAATTCTATTCTTAGTGGTGACTGACTACATTGATACATATATAAGCATTCCCTTCCCAAGCCCTACCCCTTGTTAGACCCAAACCTGCTACCCACGCTATCTCACACCATGTCTCTTCCACGTTCGTCAAGTGAGCGCACCGGCTCTATAAACTCGCAAGACAGCCAAAAGACGGCTCTGCACACCAAGAATGACCCCAACCTAGCACTCTATGAGGCTCAGCCAAGTACGTTGCGGATAACTCCCGGGCTATTGGCGGCCACGCAAGACTAACTAACTGGCACAGTTGCGGTGAACACCCAACCAGCGACTCGAGATACTGTATCGCTGCGGAGCATGCAGCACAAAGACCGCGATGGCCGGGTTATCTGTAAGTCGGGCCTGAGGACATGAGCAAGGGCCCCGATGCTGACAAGAGATAGCCGACCCGGACCTTTCGAACCCGACCCGGAATCGTCTGGAACGCCCCCTGGATACAATCCGATCATTCCAGGCTGCCATTGAGTCCCATCGCCGATATAACTAGAGACCGAAGAGACAGGGAAACTGTAACCTTGGAACGAAAGGATGAAACGAAGGAATGCCGACTATGCAAACTACTTCAACCGTGGATTTTGTGTGATGTATTAGTACTCTTGCAGAGTCATGAATTGGCGTTAATAATGAAATTGGGATGATTTATCTTTTGTCATAGGACCTCTGGATTTCGTATTACACCAGATGAAGCCCCAGACATCTATAGAGCCCAGACTACAATTGACAGTAGAATGAGATATCATCGCACCAATTCGGGCACGCCCGGATCGACCTGATCGACAAAGTGCATACATATGGAGAACGGCGTACTATGATTCGTGACGTCGGTTTATTGTTTTGTATCAGATCCCACGACAGCCCTCTTCGTCAAAATAGCCGACGTTTCATCTAGTCTCTCCCAGTCATGGGCATCCCGACAAGCCTGGCGACTTAATCGCACTGCCCGGCTCGTCCGCTCTCTCATCTCTGCTTCGTATTGGTCGATCGCCGCGGCTGCCGTGGCTGAGCCGGTGTACACTTTGTCAATGGCTTCCGATAGTCGGTATGCATCGAGAAGGCCGTGATTTGCTGCTTCTCCGCGGTCTGGGGTCGTCAGTCACTACCTGTCCCCTCGACAATGATGGGCTCGATCTTACACATTGTCATCGCATGCGCGGCGTCCCCCGCCAGTGTTACGCGGCCGGTTTGATTATCCCACGGCAAACACTCCCAATCGGCCAGTTTGATCTCGGTGACAGGGGTGCCAGCTGGGATGCGGTCCACTGCTTGCTGCAGAAAAGGCACGAATCCCTGTGCCCGGCGCTTCATGTTGGCTAGACGACCCTCATCAGTGGCAGCAACCTCATCCTCTGGTCCTCGCACTGGCCAGGACATGCAGATCTGAGCTCGATATCGTTCGGCGTCGGATCCCACTGTGCCATTGACCTGCGGTGTTTCCAGCATAGAAAACCAGAAGAAGGCCCCCGTGGGAGGATGGCAGCCTTGAAAGAGGAGTGGATCCATGGCGCGCAACGGTTGAATCTCGTCAGGGGTCAGATCCACTGCGACGCCGGTGAAGTTGATCTCAAGAGGTGTATTGCTGAACGCGTCTGGTCGCAGCACCTGCCGAACCAGTGACCGACTGCCTTCGACGCCGACAACCATCCGGCCCGTCACCGTCGTTTGGTCTGCAAGCACCAGGTGTACTTGGTCTTTCTGCACCAGTTCCAGGTCCACCACGCGACGTCCCCAATGAACGCGATCCTCGATCCCATGGAGTAACGCGCGGCGCATCTTCTCTCGGTTGACGCGCCACCGGACGTTGGGAGGGATCTTGAACTTCGGCTCACCGGTCTGGAGGTTGATGAAAAGGAAATTCCCGCTGTCACTGCGCGCGACATCCGGATCGACCTGGACGTCCCGAATGCGCGTCAGGGTGTCATCCGGTAGCATCTTCAGCATGTATTCCAGGGCCCAGTGCAGCGTAATGGCCCAGCCCTGGCCCCGGGCATCGGGGTTCGCATCGCGCTCGTAGATCTCGAAGGGGATGTTCTTTTGCTTCAACGCCTGGCCCAAAGTTAGGCCGACGATACCAGCGCCCACGATCAGAACAGGATCCATAGTGTTTCTCTTTAGATTTGGGGATCCTGGGCATTATGATTTCTTGCCATCCCGCACCTTTTTGTGTCTCGGCAGACGCGCCAAACACCCCGCGGATCCGGGGCCCGTCGCATAGATAAGGCTTATCGGTTTCACGGGGTCCGTCGGCTGTGAATCGCGTCGCCAATCCGACGGCGTGGAGTACCTGCACATATATCTATGTCAGGCTGGGGTTAGTCATATAAAGAGAACCTGGTAAGTTAAGGAGTAATGTCCTCGTCTCTCCCAGTCCATCCCTGCAACGTTTCCAACATGTCACACGAAGCACTCAACCCGATTCACCCAGCCGTGCTGCCTCACCTGGACCAGGTGTTCATCCAGCTCTACAATGACCACGTCGCAAACACCCCGGCGGGCCCCATCGATCTATCTGTCCTCCGCAGCAAATATTCGGTCCTCTACTCGTACGGGACCGGGCCAGCGCCCGACTGCGCACGCATCTACGATACTCAGGTTCCGGGTCACAATGGCGATTTGATCCCCGTGCGAGTGTACGAGCCCGCAGAGCCTGGTCCGTGGCCGGTGCATGTGGATTTCCATGGCGGAGGTAGGAGGACACGAAAAATATGGCAAAGAAGAACTGGCTAATCATATAGCCGAACAGGATGGGGCCTCGGTGATCTCGAGACAGAAGCACATATCTGCAAGCATCTCTGCGTCAAGGCCAATGTTTGCGTGATTGATGTGGAATACCGACTGGTGCCCGAACACGCGTTTCCGATCGGCATTCAGGACTCCTTCGCAGCGCTGCAGTATATCCATTCGAACGGCCAAAAATTCAATATCAATCCCGGCCGCATCTCGCTGGGAGGTGTCTCAGCAGGCGCAAACATTGCTTTGGTGTGTGCACATCTCGCCCGCGATGCCAATCTGCCCCTGCAACTCGTTGCTGTGGGGACCCCGGTGATTGACGACATCTCCAAATACAACTCTGCGGCGGAGGCACCGTGGCCGTCAATGCAGCAGATGGAGCATGCGCCAACGCTCAACTGGGGACGCCTGAAATGGTTTGACAACCTGAAATGGCAGAGCATCGCTGCGGACGGCCCTGATCGGGCGGCCCAGCTGGCCGCGGTGAAGTGGTTTGCAAACATTTTGCAGGCCCCTGACTTCACTCGGCTGCCCAAAACGGTCCTTTACACCGCAAGCTGTGACCCGTTGCGGGACGAGGGCGAAGCATACGCGCAAAAACTGATCGAAGGAGGCAATGAAGTGATCCAGAAGCGGTTCGCCGGTGTCCCACACCCATTTATGCATATGGACAAAGGTGAGTTGCGGCCCATCTCCTCTCAAAGCACTGGCTGATACCCCTCCCAGATCTGTGGCAGGCGAAGCAATTTATTGACTTGACGGCGGAACATATTAAGGCTACTCTTCACCGTTAGAGGTGCATACAATATAGGCATGACGTAGAGCTAGATGGAATGCAAGACAGAATAGGTTCACCGGTAAACTTTCTACAAACAAATCGCTCTCGAAGTCTACTGGAATACTCAATGCATGGTTCCCGCACAAATATACTACCTACTACTATCAGCGACCTTCCAGAGCGTATAGCTGATGTGCCAAGGGAACGATAGACGCCTCTAATGGCCGTAACTGAGCACCCAGTATGATCTGCGCCTTGGCTGAATCACAAGAATAATGCGTGTCCGCAATTCGCTTACCCGGATTTCCCACCGGAATCCTTTGTTGACTCTGTGGAAGTCGCTCACGAATAATATCCCCGATTTCCTGAGTGTCGTAAGATGCCTGGGTCACCAAGAATCGCTCGTGTCCGCTCGCAGAGAAGGTCAGCGCCTTCAAACATGTCTCCGCTAGATCCTCAACATCAACCCACACTGAATGTAGCTCATTAGCATAGGGATCGAGGATGGAGTGAGAGAATATACCTGGCGCTTTCGTTGGCGGCAACTCCCCGTCCTTGCCTGCACTCAGTACCTGCCACACGATTTGATTGCTTGCATTCAACTGGGACAGTGACTCTATGGGATGGATCATGCGACCAAAAACCATCCCGGGACAGAGTGTCACTAGTTGATATTGGACCGGATGCTCTCGAACATGATCCCAGGCGGCGCGTTCAGCGACAACTTTCGAGGCGCGGTATGCGATAGGCTACCCAAAGTTAGCGGTATGTTAGATATAAAAGAAGGAACCCCCCTACCACAGCTGGTGCATTCACCCCATCTTCATACGACAGTGGAGACCAATCCTTCTCAGTGTAGACACGTCCAGGCTGCAAACCCAAACTGGCATCGTAGACACTAGCGAAGCTGGACATGATGACCAGCCGTCGAACAGTAGAGTGTTGTTTCGCAGCTTCGCAGACGGTTTGCGTCCCTTTCAGCGCAGGCGCCATCAGCTTTTCTTCAAACTCCCCTGGGCGTGCATCGTAGGTAAACGCCGACGCCAGGTGGAGGATGGCCTGACAATCGCGCACCGCGTTGGAAAAGGACTGAAGATCAGTCGGGTCTGGTACGACCACAAGCTCTAAATTTGATAAATTCTCCACGTCGGCCGCGCTCAATGCTTTGCGAGTTTCCTTCGCCTTGTCTGTGGAGCGCACTGTTGCACGGACGCGGTATTGGGAACGCAGAAGAGTGGCAAGACAATGGGCCGCGATAAAGCCATTTCCGCCAGTCACTAGGACGAGAGAGCCGGGATCAATCGGAGACATGGTGGATAGAATTATGACCTCTGCCACTAGACTCATCCAGATTCTTATACTTGGGGGCTTCCCATCCGCACCGTCGGATAGATCGGGCGCTTCCCGATAAGCCCCAACTCGGAAAATGTATGTGGGGACTCTCCGGTGGTCCTAAAGGTAACTAAGGGTAGAATCTATTCATTCCGATTTCTAAGCATAGAAGTGAGTGTGAAGTAGATTCGACGTTTATTGTTGATAAGAGATTCCCGCATGTCAACCTGCCCATCACTAGCCGACGTTACCTCTTACAATTCAACCCTTGAAGATTATTACTGAGAGGCACCTGACCCGTCAGTCCAACCGTATGGATGTGCTCAAGGATCTCCAGAAAGTGAATTCTGATTGCATATTTATAACTATTGCTCATTCTTAGTCTTCTTTAGACAGCTGATTTGACATTGCCAAATTCCTCGTTCCACGTTGCTAAACTACACATAGAGCCGGAGAACCCATATACTGCTCACGATCCACTCAATAGACATAGCGGAAGCTTTCATCGTCATGCACGTCTTGCACGGTCTGCTTCCCAGCCATCCGTGCCTCCAATCTGCTCCGTGCTGGTGCCCCCAGACGGTCGGCGACGGAGTTACGCCGACCATACATGATTCGTAGAATGGTGGACACGACGATGGCCGCGGCATTGACTGCAACCAGCGTTATTTTGGCAGGAATATACTGAGGCGCGTCCCGGGCCTGGAAGGTTTGTGGGCCGATGATGTTGGCAACGCTAAAGGCAGTAGATATAATTGCAGCGCCAGAAACCTGCGATAGTTAGAAAACAAGGCCCAGTCAGTGACTATAGAATGGTGGACTCACCTTCATGGTATATCCCTTGAAATTCGCGCCAGTCCAAGCGTAGATTAACGCTAGCGGGGCGACGGTCTGATACGTTAGACTCATCCGGTCTCAGCGAGGAAGAATGGAGACATACCGTATTCACCAGGTAGATACCTGCCAGGCAGCCTCCCTTGTTGGAGGTGGGAAGAAATGACATCAGGCATGATCCCAGCAGCGTTGGAAGCAAGAGCAAGTCGATCGCCAGCCATCGCGAAAAACCTTTGGCGATCGCGATGGTAGAGATCATCGTGGACGCAATGCTCACCACTCCCGACGGCATGTTGAGCAGGGCACTCTCCTTTGAGTCATATCCAAATCCCAGAATGAGGATGGCGGAAAAGGTGGTGATCACACCACTGGGGATGGTGATTAGGATGGTGAGCAGCACCAACAACCAGGTCTGAAGATCTCCAAATGCCTCCAGCACAGATCGCCAGCGAAAGACTTTGAGTCCGACTCCAGCTTGGTCCTGACGCAATCGCTCGGCTAAGCGTTCCTTTTCGGCCACGGTAAGAAACTTGGCCTTGGCTGGACTCTCGGGGAGGAGGAACAGGACCAGAAGCGCAACCAGCACATTGACGGCACCAATGACCACAAACATGATCCGCCAGCCCCCGAAATACTGATTGGGAGGAGCATGTTGCGCGGCAAAAGAGATGAGCCCGCCGACTATCTGGCCGACTCCCAGTCCGCAGTACCAAAAGCCATACCGAGGGGTTGACTCGGCGCGGGTATACCACATGCTTGTGTATATTGTCAACGAGGGGGCTACAACAAGGTACCCCATTAGCACACGCTTGAAACATGGGGTTGTCGTCTCACCTATCACGGATTCCATCAGCCCCAGCAAGATCCGCAGGGCCAGCATTCCTCGAAACTTGCTGGCAGCGGAAGAACAACAGAGAATAATGCCCCAGCAGAAGACATTGGCACCGAGCACTTTGGTGATCGGGAACCGCTGCAAAAGCACCCCCTGAGGAAGTTCGGCGACCGCATAGGCAATGAAGAATGCCGTTGCAAGCCAGGAGAAATCATTGCCGCTCATCCCCAGGTCATCTTGGATACCCATCACGTTCGCGTAATTGATGGAGATCTTGTCAATCATCTGCAAGAAATACGTGAGGAACATGATGGGTAGCAGCTGCCAGTCAATCTTGCGGACGAGCTGCTTGTCTTCCATGGTCAGATAGCCCAAGGCGCGATCCTCGGGCGAAGGGTGCTTCGCGATCTCCTGTTCTTTCTCCATTGTGAGGCAGGGAAATGAAGAACCATCCCGGAGTCATGTTCGACGGCCTGGTAGACTTTATGGTGCCTTGGGGTGGCTGAACCCAGGGGTGAGAGATACCGTCGTGCCTTTTCCCCAGATAATGTGTTACTCCAGGATTCGGCAGGGATCGTCAGTGTCGACGGGCCCACAACGCGACCGTCGCATAGATAAACCTGGACCGCCCGTCGCTTATCGCCGCCAGTGCCGATAGTCTGCCGGAAGGACTCCGACGGCGAGCTTCATCGACAATGAGTATATATTCATCGCGCAGAGGGTGGTCCGGCCGGGACTGTGCTCACACCTGCAGTTCTTCAACATGCCATCTCGTACAGACTCGCCCCTCCAGGTCGCCGTCATCGGCGCCGGTCTGGGTGGTCTCGCAGCGGCCGTGGCACTGCGCCGTCAAGGTCATGCCGTCACCGTCTATGAGCGATACGACTTTGCCAATGAAGTCGGCGCGTCTCTCAGTGCAGCCTCCAATGGATCACGTTTTCTGGAGGAATGGGGGGTCGATGTGAAGGCTGCGAAACCGGTGCGTGCGATCAGATAGATTGGTGGTATCCCAAATTTTAACCAGCTCGGCAGGTCATTCTCAAGCAACTGATCATGCATGACTGGTCCAGTGGCACGGTGCAAAACACATATCCGCTGGGCGACTACAAAGCCAAGTTTGGAACAGTATGCGGGGGCCCGAATAGCCGGGAAACTACAGGCGCTGACCGTGGTTTAGGACTATAACAATTTCCATCGAATTGACATCCACAATGAGCTGCTTAAGTCGGCTTTTGAGGCAGCCGGGGAGGGTCCTCAGTGCGTCTTGAAAGTCAACCACAAAGCGATTGGCGTGGACGCCGACGAGGGTCGGATTCAGTTCGAAAACGGCGACGAAGCATCGGCCAACATCATCGTGGCTGCAGATGGAATCCGGGTAAGAGTGCTTTGATCAGTATTGGAATCATCGCTAACGAGGCAGTCTGTGACACGTACCCTGATTGGAATCACCCCCGACTTCGAGATGTCGACATCCTGTTGCTACCGCTGCATCATTGGCGCCGATAAGCTCCGGGAGTTGGGCCTGGAGGACTATGTTTCAAACGAGGCCATCGAGTACTGGGGTGGATTTGGTATCAACAAGATCGTCATGTCGCCATGCAGCAACGGCGAGGTCGTCAGCTGTTATTGCTTCTATCCGGCCTCGCACAACAACCTGCGCGACGGTGAGTGCTTTTGCAGGCCGAGAGAGAGAGAGCCGAAACTGATCATCATACCCCAGACGGATGGGATATCAGTGCGTCACCGCAGCAGCTGGCTGACACCTTTCCCGATCTTGACCCGCGCATGAGGACTTTGATGCTACATGCCGACGATATCAAGATGTGGCGCTGTATGTAATACTTCCTGCCGCACCGAATACAGAAACTAACATGTGCCAGTGTATCGCCATCAGCCCTATCCGTACTGGGTCAAGGGCAAGGTCTGCCTACTCGGGGATGCTGGTAAGTATCCCAATTCCTATCCGATTCATACTGACACAATGTCCCAGCACATCCCATGATGCCGGACCAGTCGCAGGGCTCTTGCATGGCCTTTGAAGATGCCGGAGCCCTGGGTCTCATCTTTCACAAGAATTTCCGGCAGGAGTATGGAGTGGTAGAGGGGCTAGATCTGTACGAAACGTTGCGCAAAGAGCGTGCCACGCGTGTACAGGAGGCGAGTTTCCGGGCCCGAGAAGATCTGAGCGAGCGAATTGGCTGGAGCTCCACAACCGATCGACCCGGGAAGCTGACCATCGAGGATGTCTGCGGGTATAATATGCGGGAGCATCTGTTGGAGGTACGAACGAGCAATTAGAAACTGTATCGAAATCAAGAATCGCTTGCAATCAATATGCTACATTCATACATGTCTAGATAAATACGACGCCGGGAAATTGACTATATCGGACAGCAGCCCAGTTGAGCTCTGAAGTACTTCCACTCTTCCACACCGTCTCCAACAATTGACGGGCATATTGGATGTGTGAAAACCCCAAGGTGCTTTCCAGAACCATGAGTCGCTCTTTCACAATCATGCGCCGTTCAACGCTGATGCTGCTCGCTCCTGCTATCACCAAGGGAAACAAAAGGCCTATGTAATAGACTGGTCAGCATCATTTGCGCAGAGGCAAGGGGTCAACTCACATCCTTCAACTTTACTCGCGTACGGTATCTCTCGAACAGCATCCAAGATAGCAGTAATGGCGCCCTCGACAAACTCATGGAATGGATCGTAGCCCTCGACGATTTGATGTAAACGCAGGCGGATTGCCCATTCAAAAGCTGTCGTGGCTCGTTCGGTATTGGGCTCACGACCATCGGCCGTGTCTATGCGGTCATGCTCCGCGCGCCATTCATTAATCCGACTTTCCAGGTGCGTCGCGGATGCTCGGAAGCCAATCTCAGAGAGCTCATCCACGCGTCGGCTTCGACGGTTGGCCAGAATGTTGACCATGCCGAGATAGTCAAAGAGCGCTGGAGAAATCCCATAGATAGCATCCGTGGATTGACTGTCAGTCAGTTCGGGCACGCTAGAGCGTCGGAGCGAGCTGGTCAAGTCCGTCATACTATCATCTTCATGCAGCAACGGTGGCTTGCACCGGGAGATGGTGGACATCGAGTCCAGGTAGTGGAACAAACTAATACAAAACGTCCACTCATCGGTTGAGACCAGTGACCGCATCGCAGGAGACTTGAGAATGGCACCGGCGGCCTTCAAATGCCATTTCCAGGCCTTAGACTGCCCATCACACAGCTCCGTCAGGCATAACAATAGAACAGTTGTACATGCTTCAAAGATGGACTGGCGGTCGGACCGACTGAGAAGATTGTTGACTTGGGCCAGTGCTATCACAAAATCAGTTTTACCGTCACTGTGGGTTCGGATGTGTGTACCTTGGCCTTGCCGCGTCAATGCACAACCCCAGATGGTGGGATAGACTCGCTTCCAGTGGCATCCACTCAGACTTAATATGACACTGGTCACTGTATTAGATGTAGCTGCTAGTGGTAAGAGAGTCACAAGGAACGGGTTACGATCGGAGTGAGACCGCGAGAGCGCGCCCGCCACCACCTGAAGGTAGTGATTAAAAAGCGATCGGTCCTCTTCACTACGCAAATGAGGGTTGGCAGACAGCGGGGACCGGCCGAGAGAGAGGGAAAGGCCATTATGCTTGGGTAAAGGGTGTGGGAAGAGCGTGGCAATAAACTCCTCGTCGTCATCGGGGGTAAGGGAGCTCAGGTCAAGCGGATCACCGTCGGATCGATCGTTCGGATCGGTGATCGAGATCACCGTGCTGGGGGACTGGGGAGAGAGAGACCAGCTGGTTGTCTCCGGGCTTTCTGGGCCAACCGAAGTCGCCGGCCAGCGGCAGGGCAGATTCAGCCGACGACAATCGCTGCAGCGTGGGCGGTTCTCGTCACATTTCTTTTTCCTGCAGACAACACTTTAGCGTCCGACGCAAGGGCCATGTTCACCGGCAAAGGATTTACCTTGCCTTGCAGGAGAGACACCCGCCGCGGGACCGCGATGCACGGGGCCGTCGTGGCGCCAGGGCCCCGTCAGAGGAATCGGCTACTGTTTTACGCGGTGCACATATATGGCCCAAGCCTGTCTGGTCAGGTCGTTCCTAGATCTTTCAGAGTGGGAGACCTTACGTGTGCAGCGCGAGCAGGGAAGGCCACCGTCGCACCGTTGTTTCTGTTGAATTAATACCACCTCAGTCACAATTGGGAGGCGAAGCACTCACGATGCGCGAGCAGCGAGCGCAGACTCGGGCAGGTGTACTCATGGTGGCCAGGCTCTCGAGAGACTAGAGGACAGACAGGAGGTGAAGCGACGGTGCCATTCTTATCGGGGCATTTCCGATCCGACTGGCCTTATCAATTGCCCGTTTGGGCATGGCCGTCGGATGTGGGATGCGGGGTCGAATGCGCTTCCCCAGATTTCCCGAATACAGTCTGTACTCAATTTGGATGGGTGGAAGTGTTAAGGGCAAATGACGCCATTCAATAGTATTGCTGAATGGTCTGTATATCATCGTTAAAGCCAAAGCACAATCGTAACTCATAAAAAAAAACAGGTCTGACATCGTCTTAGTTCCTGACCCGGTTTGCCTCGCTATCCGCCACTAACGCCTTCTTGCGGCGGATATAGTACTGCCCACCGAGAACCAGGGCAAGCACCCATGACACTCCGGCCAGCGCACATATAGCTGTGAGGCCATGCAAATACTTGGGAGCATCCGATGTGCGGAAGATCTGGGAGCCCGAAATACCAGCGCAGTTGGCGGCCATCACAATAAGTGCCATCGCAACACTTCGTTCCTGAGGCGTCCGGCAATAGACTGACAGCCAGCCGACGTTGAGGATACTTCGACGTCAGTTAGTCACATGTTCCAGATCAAGGATTGGTATTCAAACTTACTGCATGCTGCAATAGGACACATTAGCCACGGCAATGACTCCATACTGGTGCCATGCTGATGTGGAATAGGTACTCGTGCGGAGACAAGCGTAGGAAATCACGTTCCAAGTAATGGCCAGAAGGACAAACGGCCCACGGTGGCCGACCCGATCACTGTTATAGAAGGTTAGTACGTACTCTTCTTGTCTCATTGTAATTGGGGTCGAAGCGTACGAAATATACGCCAGGATGGTCAGCCACACGATACTACAGTACACGGGGACAGACGCCAGGGCATTGGCTCGAACCGCACCAAATCCCAGGGACTTGATCAGGCTGGGTGTATACTGCGTCAATCCTTGGAACGCGGACATTGATACTAATGTCAAAAAGGCGTGTTGCAGAATGCGTGGCTGGCACACAGTCTGCCAGATGTCGGACCGTGAGATCTGAATCTGCCCACGGGCCTTGCGAGGGTCGTCCAGCAGAACTCGATTGCGGATGATTTGTGTCTCTCTCTCGCTAAAATAGCTCCAACGGCCCATGCAAATTAGAGCACGACCATTGCCTGCTGCAGGGGGAACAAGGAGGGTAAAAACAATCCCAACAAAAAGGGTGATGAGACCCTCGACTGTTTGAACAGGTCCAGTCAGCTAGGAGCTTCTTGGCGGGACAAAACAAAGGCTTACCCAAGAAAATCCACCGCCATCCTTCCAAGCCTCCCGTTCCAGATAGTCGAAGAAGACCGGCGGAAATCAAACTGGATGTAGCCGAGGCAAACATTTGGCCATAGAAGAAGAGCGTAGTGCGAAAGCTGGTTTCGTCTTTCTTGTACCAGGTGGACAAGTAGTAGAGAGCGCCTACGTCGAGTATGTCAGTCAGACGTCTCTTGACTCTTAGCAAAAATGAAGCTCACTCACCTGGAATAAAACCACCTTCACACAGTCCGAGCAGAACACGGGTTACCAGGTAAGCTGGGTATGACTGAATAAAGGCCTGAAAGGTCGCAACCAGTCCCCACGCAAAGAGCTGGCCCGAGAGCCAAACGCGAGGTCCTATCCGTTGCATGATAATGTTGGACGGTATCTCAGACAGCACGATTCCCGCAGACAACAGCTGTGTTCCAATATTGACCTGGTTGGTTGTGATATTCAGGTCTTTGGTGATGGTCGAAGTCAATACAGCGCTGATATTACCCCGGTCAAGTTGCAAAGAAAAGAACGCCAAGGCGAGGCAGGGAAGCAAAATGAAGTCAATTCTGTTGAAATCAAAAACAAAAAAAAGATTAAAGCTGTTATTTTTTTGGAGATGGCTTGTTGCACTTACTTAAGTCGAATCCGAGACTCATCATCCCAGTCTTTGATGATACCATGGTCGACATCGCTTGAAGGTGACCCAAGCACATCGTCCTGCAGGGTAGTCTTTTCAGGTAGACTAACTTGAGGAATCATCTTTGAATCCGGCCCGCCGCGCGTCATGATTATAGAAAAATAGTGCTGACAGAGCGATAGGCTCAAGGAGTCGTACCTGGCTTTTTTGGCCGTACTTTTTTCGGTGGCAAACGATGCTTCTTATAAGACCGTGGGCCCCAGAGTACCCAGCACAAATTGCGCAACTGCTCAGTTCCATAATAGCATCTAGATTCCGCTTAAACTGTGAAATGGGACCCAGTCCATGTCGCGACACGGCGGGGGGCTATGGCGCAATTTAGGGTGGATTTGACGAGGGCCCATCAACGGTTGAAAATCAATATCACTTTGCCGACGGAATAAGAGCAGTAATTGACAAGCCTCGTTTGAATTATTGGTGTATTCAGGCCGGATTGATCGATTGTCAAAGCCCTTCTTGACAGCGCGTTGGTGTTGATTCTCCAGGATGCGAGGGATACATTCCCGGCACGAGGTGGGCCGGACTTCTTGTTGCCAATACTTCATGTTACAATCCTCCTTTTAGAAAATCATTTCTGGCAATTCATCCATTTTAGAGTAGCAAGTTCTTTTCTACATTATTTTGGCTATGTCCAAATATCCCAGTTCAAGCCATGTCTAGTTAATCCCACTTGGGGGCCTTCCGCCTCAATCACATATCCAGCATCACACCAATCAAAGGACACCGTGGGCTGTTGACTGTAAAAGCTGTCATATTCAACATCCAGAGCATCTCGTAGAGTACGCACGGAGTCATCTGGCTGGAGGACGTTCCAGGGCTCGATACAGGATATTCCCTTGCAGGACTTCAAGACCAACAGAAGAGCATCCAGCCGATTGATAGCCTCGGACAAACGTCGCCCGAGAATTCGAGGCTCCATGGAATTAGCTCGAGAATTTGATGGGTACAAGTTGTGTAGCTGGTACGGATCGGTCTTCACGGAAATTAACACAGGTTCCTTGAGTGAAAAAGGTAGGCGAACTTACTGAAAGATCATAAAGTTCATGCTCGTTGTTGCACCACACCGAATAGTACAAATTATAGCCTTCGCCTATGAGACGCAGTGCCTTGTACGTGTGGTTACCGATCATGTTCGAACCATTGGGGCCTAAATATTGATATTAGCATCTGCTATTTAGACGTTCGACAGAATAATTACTGACCGATGTAACCAAATGCGCCTTCCGCGACTCCCTTGCCCCAATATTCCACGGTCACATGCTCATGACGCGTGGTTTTGGAGCTGGAGTTGATCGGTATGGGTGTGCCGTCAAAATCATCCCTTGCGGGAATCCCGGCCAGCTGGAAAAACGTCGGTGCTAGATCTATATGAGTGGTGACAGCATTCTGCACCACCCCTTGCGGTACACCAGGCCCTCGGATGAAGAAAGGAACTCGGATATCCTCTTCAAACCCGCAGGTCTTTCCGGGTGGCAGCCGGTGCTGGCCGATATGAAATCCGTTGTCGGATGTGTAGATGATATAAGTGTTGTCGAGTTGGCCGCTCTCCTCTAGCCGAGTAACGGCCGCCTCCACAAGTTCATCCACGCCCTGTAGAGCGCGCAGACGGGACCGGTAAAAGTGGTCATTGTACTCCACGATGGTCTCGTTCTGCTTGGGAAGATCTTGTATCCAGCTAACGCCGCTCGGCTGGTAAAAGTCAGATCTGTGGAACACCAAAAAAAAGACGGCCATGCACCTACCTCGTCCGGATTGAAATGCTCTGTTCGAGGTACCTGCACATCCTCGAATAGATGCCGATGCCGTTCCAAGGGAATGGGAGCAGAGAATGTGACATCGTCGTTTAGACGAGCGGGATCGACATTTGAGTGTGGTGAGATGGGAGCCAGTGCGACGAACCATGGCCGGTCCCCCTCTAATGCATCATTCAAGAACCCGAGAGCTTTCTCCGTAATTACATCAGTCGTGTGCTGCCCCTCGTAGCTTACAGGAGGGTCGTGATTTCGCTGAAAGGTCGCATTCAGGTAAGCGTAGGTGTAAGGGTCAAGCAAGAAATCGGATCCGTTGAACCCATTGACGTGAGGACTGTCATAGTTTTCAACCGTGTGCGCGTTGAAGAGTTTTCCAGTATAGTAGGTGTCATAGCCGGCTTGTTGAAGCCAGACCGGCAGGAAGTTATCGTTAAATCCGCGCTCCACAAATTTCGGGTAACCACCTAGGACAATTAGTCGCATGCAAAATCGGCTTCGAGCTGTCGCGATCTTACCATAGGGCGGACTCACGTCCGTGACGTTTGTATTATGGGCCAATTTACCGCTCCAGAGAGAGACTCGAGAGGGACAGCAGAGAGAGGTAGTGACAAAGTGGTTGGCAAAGGCGGTGCCTTTGTCGCGTAAATGTTTTGCGATCAGGGGAGTATAGGCCACCGAGTTGAGCTGCAGGTCTTGGTCGTCTGTGATGATAAAAAGAATGTTCGGTTGTCGACGTGGTCGCGATGGCAATGGCGGCGAATCACTGGACCCTAGAACTGCTTGCAATACGGACTGCGCATCTGCTTGAGCGATTGCTGCGCCTTCGATGATGGCGAGCAAGCCAGCGAGAGCAGTGTTGACTCTCATAGCGACTGGGGTGTGTTGGCGCAACGATAGCTGCCGCAGGGCGTGGTAAGTTATCTAAGTGGCATGTCGATGAAGCGGCAGTTGTCTGACAAGCTCGGAAAATCCATGTGGATCCCGGTGGAGAGCTTGCAGTGCCGATAGTGTACCCGAGGCGATGATGCCATCCGTGGATCTGATTGCGATACATAGCATGCATTTCGATCGATCTAATGTTTACTATTGAGTCTCGTGTCACCGATTACGCTCAGCACAAGAGTCAGACAACGTGTTCGTTGTGCCATCCGCAGTGCATATCCTGCAAATAATATGTAGGTAGTCATAATTCTTGGCATTCAGGGGATGAGAAAAGCACATTCCTGTGAACAATTTACCCTTGGCCCGAGCGGAGTGGAGCATGGTGCCTGGCGCCTCAAATGACGTGCTTTGAACCGACAATGAGGAACGCTCGATGAAGTGCTGCATGAGCCACGCGAGATTGACCGGAGAATAACGCAATATCCAGGGCCCCGCGGGTGCAAGCACGCAAATGTTTCCGTCGACGGAGTTGAGGCGATTAACTATCGCCCAGGGCTTTTTTGACATCTAGAAATTCTTATCTGACGGATTTCGTCGTTGGTTTTCCATCAGCTACAAGTCCATCATGGTCGCTATACTCGATGACTCGGATGCGCATAGCGCAAGGTCGCAATCAGTCCACAAGCCCGGATCCATCGATGGACGCGCGCTCGATGAAGAAAGGCCCCTGCTATCGGATCCGGATGAGTCCAATGTCAAGGCCTTGACGGGGGCTGGCACGATAATTGCAGTGCTCTTGCTAGGTATGACAATAATGAATATTTGCAGGAGAATACATTACTCACTATCGTGCAGGCGAGTTTATCTCCAATGCCGACGCGACGCTCGTCATGGCCGCCACGGGCCGAATCTCTTCTGAATTCAATCACCTGCGTGACGCGAGCTGGCTCTCTACGGCATACACGCTGGGTCTCTGCGCAGCACAGCCCATGGTAAGTGATGTATGAGACGAATTGTAGATGTACCCTAATCGCCACTATTGTAGTATGGAAAGCTGTCTGATATATACGGCCGCAAGCCACTGCTCTTGATCTCATATTTCCTTTTCGCCGTGGGATGCATAATCTGGTATGTAGGAAGTACTTCCTTTACAATTTATACCGCTCTAACAATCTTCTTACAGTGGCATCGGATCGCAGATGTGGGTGATCATTCTTGGTCGTGCAATCAGCGGTGTGGGTGGTGCTGGAACAATGACCATCTCATCAGTGATTATCACCGGTTCGTGTCATCCATGATCTGCTGAAAAATTCCGCTGATATGTTTTAGATATCGTTCCCAAACGCGAAGTTGCCAGCTGGAGAGCCTATGTGAATATTGCGATGACTCTTGGCCGTAGCATCGGCGGGCCGCTTGGGGGATGGCTGAGCGACACAATCGGATGGCGATGGTATGTTAGCATATACTTCCCAAATTGGGACCGGTCTAACCCTGGTCTAGGCTATTTCTTCTCCAAGCTCCCTTTGTTGCTTTCGCCGCATTTCTCGTCGTCATTAAACTCCAAATTGCTCAGCCAGCAACTTTCAGCAAAGTCAGTTCTGCGTCGAAACTGCGTCAAGTGGACTTTCTTGGCTCAGCCCTTTTGGGTGCGGCTATTTTGGCAATTACAATTCTTTTGGATCAAGGTGGCAAGTCTTTTCCCTGGCGCTCATGGGTGACGCTATTCATGGGTGGTGGTGGAATTGCTTTGTTGTTAGCCTTTACCCTCGTGGAGGCCTATGTTGCACGAGACCCCATCTTTGACCTCCGCATCCTCCGCCGGCCTAATGTGTCTATTAGCTATCTTATTGGGTTCTTGCAGATTACGGCACAACTAGGCATGATGTTCTCCGTGCCACTGTATTTCCAGGTGACTCAACGAGCCTCTACTACCGCCTCCGGTGGACATCTGGTCCCAGCCGTGGTAGGCAATACGATTGGTGGCCTTCTTGCTGGAATTTTTATTCGCCGCACCGGGTATTACAAGGTTTTGCTAGTGCTTGCTGGTCTCGTGGCATCAGTCACCTATGCGCTGCTTTATTTTACCTGGGACGGTCAGACCGGAATTTGGGAGTCGCTTTTCATTACTCCCGGAGGTATAGGGACCGGTATTGCGTCTGGATCGGCGTTCATAGCCATGACTGTTATGCTACAACAGGAAGAAGTGGCCATGGCAACCGCAGGATACATGCTGCTGATCAGCTTTGCCATGACTGCCGGGGTCACTGTCAGTAATACGACTTTGGGCTTGCAATTCAAGAAACAACTACAGTCGAATCTGCACGGACCTGGCTCTGAAAAGGTATACTGTTCTTTTAGTGATAATCATATCTTATTGTTACTAACTCTGACAGGTCATCCGACGCGCCATGGCCGACACAGCTTACATTGCCCAACTCGGAGGCCGTCTCCGAGAAATCGTGGTGATGTGCTACCTCTCGGGTCTAAAATATACGTATCGTGAGTTGTTCTCCTTCTACATTTTTGTGGAAGCTAACAGTTTAGTTGTCTCACTCGCATGTTCGCTACTTGCCTCGTTCCTCGGCTTTTTCATCCGCAACTACCAATTGTAACCGCATTATAGTTAAGGTCCATCAGATAGAGACAGCTGTTGACTACAAATAATCATACGTTATACCCAAATAACACATATATTTCTGCATTTGTCAAATACCAAGCAGACAGTTCTTTCCTATCACTTGAGCAAGGGAATCCGTCCCCTTACTTCAGCTCCAAGTATCGCTCTCTGTTGCAGCTGTAGTGCCACAGGCTGACGGCACTGTATAGACTCTATTTGAGGCGCTTTCCCATTCAACGCTTCCATCGCTTTCAACGCGAATATATTTATACTCAAAGCTAGTGCCGGACGGCAGGTCCACCGTCACATACCATAGATTGTTGCTTTCAGTATACTGGCTTGCGCTCAATGCGACGGCATCGTCCGTATCCCAGTCACCAAGTTGTTCAATTGAGCCTGAAAGCTTGATGTTCTCGCCATACACTGTGGTTGCAATCAGGTCAAAAGTCACGGCTACGGAGGCGGGCGTCGTGCATGCCGTGCTGGTTGTTGTCATTGAAGTCGTCGTGGATGATGCAGTCGAGCCTGTAGTCGTAGATCCCGACAGGCTCGTCAATGCGCTAGGCCAGCTCGTGTAGGTGGCCGAACTATACGTGCCGGTGGAAGTATATCCACTAGTACATGTTGCCGGAATACTGCTAGCCGAGGTCTCTCCCCATGCAGCGGGTACGACGGAATTCCGCCGCATGTTTGCAGTCAACAATGCAGCATATGACCAGGTCAAGTCGCGTGCCGACAGCTCAAGTCCGTCGGCCTTGCCAAATTGTTCCGACAACGAACCATTTGTCATTGCATGCTCTTGCTGTCTAAGGTATTAGAAAGAAAATAAATATCAATCTCGTTTAGACGTACCACAATGCTCACGTATCCATCTGCGTATGTCTTGACAGCGCTCGCAATAGATTGGTATTCATTGCTGGATGCGGCATAAGTTCCAGCGGCAGCCGAACTATACATATCCTGGAAGAAGGCCAGGGAGACGTCGGTAATAGTCAACGAGCCAATGCGGTTCCACTGATACAACGCATCATATAACAGCTCAGCTGCCGCGAGCGTACATAGGAACCAGGGATTCCCATTGTAGTACGTATCTTCTGGGTAACGACCCACGGCGACCGCGACGCCCTCTTTGATACCCGAGTTGAGTGTGTAAATGGAGCGGAAAGAGTCTGTTACCACCTTGTGGTTTGCCAATGCCCGTGCGGAGCAAGGCTGGAAGGTACTATCATCGCAACCAGCATCTTTGTCGAAAGTTGCAATGATCCCCAACAGGGTGTTAGAATCCTTGCCGGACCGGCTGTCTCCAAAATTAGCAAGTACATAAGAGCCTTCCCAGAAAGACTGCAAGAAACATAAGACCTGCGGCGCAACTTCACAGTATGAGCATGACGACCCGACTCGGTTAGCAAACGTGCTGCCTTCAACGAGAGCGCGGTGCTGCACCGCAATTGTAAAGAATGAAGAGCCATTAATTTCTTCCCACAAATCTGTAAAGCGTTATTAACTGAAAAGAAGAATGCAGCATAGTAGATAGGCCTTACCATAACCAGTAAAGTTCCAATTCTGCGCGACATACGAGAGGTCGTTCCTAACAATTGGCCAGACAATATCCGTAGCCGAGGATGTGTAGCCATTATCCTTTGCTTGAAGGTCAGCTCCAGGCTAGAGATGGAAAAATGAGTCCTTACAAGGAGCCATTGACCAAAAGCAATCAAAGCGGTAGCTCGGAGCGCCGGGCCGTCGCGCTGAGGGCGACCCCAGGAGCCGGTAAACGCGGTCTCGTCCACATTGAATTTGGGCTCACCAAGACCTCCGGATGAGAGACCTCCCGACGGGTTTGAGATAGTCTGGATGTAAGCCTGGGCGTTGATGTACTCTTCGATCACACTGAGCAAGCCGGTATCTCCGTCCTTGAACAGATCAATAAGTGTTTTCATTGTCAAGGCCCCATCTCGTGTCCACTCGTAATAATCTTGTTCATCAGCCTTAGATACTATATGGTATCGTGATAACTCACAGTCAGGGTTATCCGTGCTCGGACTGGCGATGACAATTCCTGGGTGTGCGCTCTCCGCCCACGCGCCTGCCGATCCAATGTTGCTTAAGATAGCTTCCCGTGCCACTGCCGTCTCAGATGCGAGCCAGGTATCCAAGCTAGTGGTCGCACGCGGGACCAGCTTTGGTATGGCCAAAACCGCCTGAGCGAGGGCGACCGTCCAGAGCGCAGTCAAGAAGTAAGGGGCCATCACGAGGGTTTGAAAGGCGAGGAGGGTGGTGTTGCTTAACATCAGGGAACTCATGGGATTTTATAGTCGCTAGATCGGTCTAGATAGTCCTAATGGCGGTCTAAGCAAGTCTCGTGAGCCGA